TGTTCTCTTGTTTGGTCTCTTTAGCCTAACATTTTTTGGAGCGGGGATACCAGGGATTGAACTCAGGACCTTGTGCTTGAGAAGCAGGCAGCACCACCAAGCTAAATCCCCAGTCCTTAGCTTAACACATTTTGAGAGTCATGCTGTTGCATAAATCTGTAGTCTGTCCCTGTGTATTACTGGATAATATTCCACTGAACTGTACTGCTATTTGTTAATCCATTGGTTGATAGTTATTTGGGTTATTTCCAGTATGGATTACTGTAAATAAAGCTGCTATGAACATTTGTGTCATTTTGTAGATTTATGTTTTCATTTATCTTTGGTAAATACATATTAGAATTTGTAGAGTTATACGGAAGATGGATTTTTAATTTTACAAGAAATTTAAACATTACCAAAGTAACTGCACTCTTTTATAGTTCTACCACCAGTCATGACAATTCCATTTTTTCCATATCCTCACCATTAGTTTTGTCAGTCTTTATTTTTAAGCCTTTTTAGTGGATGTAAAGTAGTGTTCCATTGTGGCTTATTTGCATTTTCCTTTAAATAATGTTGAGCACCTCTTCTCATGTTTTTTTTTTGTTGTTGTTGTTTTAGTTTTGTTTTTTTTTGCTTCTAATATCTTTTGGGGAATTATCTGTTCAAGTTTTGGGGCCTTTTTTAAAAAATGTGTTTTCTCAGCACTCTGGGAGGCTGAGGCAGGAGGGTTGCAAATTCGACCCCTGGCTAGACAATTTAGTGATTTAGACCTTGACATAAAAAATAAAAAGGTTGGGAGATAGATATATCAGACATGATGAAGACCCTGTGTTCAGCCCCTAGTACTGTGGTTAGAGGGTGGCTTTTTGCATTATTGCATTATAAGAATTCTTTATAAATTGAGATAAATTTTTCATCATACACACATTACATATACTCCAGTTTGGCTTGCATTTTCATTTCCTTAATGATACACTACAGGAAAATGTTTAATTTTGATTAAGACCAAGTTACCAACTTTTGTCTTGTATAATTACTGCATTGTATGTCACACCTAGGAAGTTGCTGCTTACCTCAATGCAAGCCTGGCATTTTCTCTGTGAGAAGGTTTTTGATAATGAATTTAATGTTTAATAGATCGGACTCCATATTTTTATTTCCACTTTGTAGTTTGAATCTTTTTCAAGAAATATATTCATTTAAATTGTAAAACTGAGGGGCCAGGGATTTGGCTCAGTGGTTCTGCCGCCTGCCTCACAAGCGCAAGGACCTGAGTTCGATCCCCAGTACCCCCACCTCCAAAATGCTGCTTAAATTGTAAAACTTGCGGGGGATTTAGTTCAGTGGCACCATGCCTGCCTCGAAAGCACAAGGTCCTGTGTTTGATTCCTGGTACCAGTAAGTTGTAAAATTCGGTGCCATAAAATAATTTGAACATTCCCTGTTCATTAACATTTTAATGCCTGTGGCACCCATAGTGGTATTTCCTTTTTAATAACATTGATATAACTTGCATTTTTTTCTTTACTTTTCCTCCCTGCTCTCTCTCTCCCCACCCCCCACTATTAGCTGTTTTCTCTGTTTCTTGATCATTCTGAGAGTATATTGGTTTTATTGATAATTTAAAAGAACTAATTGCTGTGTACCCCTCCTCCCAAATTCATATTTGAAACAATCACCAATTTGATGATATTAAGACTTTGGAGGTAATTCAGGTTACCCTCTAAAGGTGAGATTAATGCCACTTTTATGAAAGACTTCAGACAGTTGCTCCCCATCCTTTTCCATCCCATCTACCCTGTGAGGACACAGCATTCATCCCTGCTAGAGGATAAAGCATTCAAGGCACCACTTTGGAAGTAGAGATCAGGCCCTCACTTCTGTAAGTGAGAAGTAAGCCCATTGTTTATACGTTATCCAGTTTTCAGGTATTTTGCTATATAAGCACAAATGTACTAAGACACCACCTTGGGGCCTGTTTGATTTTTCTCTTATTTTCTTCAGTTTCATTGCTTGGATTATTGATTTAATTTTTCCCTTTATAAACTCTTAGAGCCACAAAGTTCCTTGTTAGGAATTGCGCTGCCAGAGAAATCACAAGCAGAGCTAAGAGACAACCCACAATATGGGAAAAAGTTTTTACCAGCTGTTCATTAAAGGTCTACTATCTAGAATATATAAAGAACTCGAATCAGACCCCCCCCAAATATAAAGACCTGATTCAAAAATGGGCATCTGAAATGAACAGACATTTCTCAGATAAACAAGTAAAAGCAGCAAATAATCATATGAAAAAATGTTCAACATTACTAGTCATTCAAGAGACTGAGATTCCATTTCATCCCAGTAAGAATGGCTGCTGTCAAATCAATAATATGCTGATGGGGTTGTGGGGAGATAGGAACCTTTCTTCATTTTTGGTGGGAGTGTGGACTGGTGAAACCACTGTGAAAATCAATGTGGAGATACCTTAAACAAGTAGGGTTAGAGGCCCCATTTGACGTAGCTATTCCCCAGCTGGGTATCTTCCCAAAAGAATTAAAAGAATCATACCACAGAGTTATATGCTCCCCCATGTTTATAGTGGCACAGTTTGTAACAGCTAAAATTTGGAAATAGCCGAATTGCCCATCAACTGGAGACTGGCTAAAGAAGATGTGGTGTTTTGTTTTTGTTTTTTATATAAAATGGAGTACTACTTAGCCATAAAGAAACTAGAGAGATAGCTAAGTGGATGCACATTGAGGCCATACTCTTAAGAGAAATTAGTAAGTCACATGTGTAAATACTGAATAGTTTCTCTGAAAAAGTAAAAGTGTAGATAAGGATCAAAATGTATAATTGATGTTGTGTAATAGGAAGAAAAGTCTAAAAGAGGAAGTTGGATGGGTAAGGGAAAGTTTAAAAATAAAATGTGAAAAAAAAAAACCATAAAAGCAATGTCTTTGTAAACAGGGAAGGGTGGAGGAGCTGAAGGGATGGACTGGGGAATGGGGAAAAATAAGAACCAACATAAGTCATGTAAAGGTGCAAGATCCCAATGATGAATATAACTATTGTATACTAAAATATACCAATAAACTTCATAAAGAAAAAAGTTGCTTGTAAGGACTCCTGTAACTATAGCCTACAAATTTTGATACATTGTATTTTCATTATTATTAAGCTCAAAGTACTTTATTTCAGTGGGATTCGTCCTTTTACCAATGGTGTGGATTTGTGTTACCTGAGCCAGAGCTGTAGCTTCCACAATGTCTTTGCTTTCTAGTTCTAGGTGAGCAAGGTTACACAAGTTGTTTTGTGTGTTATTTAGAAACAGTAAATGGAGCAGCTGCTGGCTTTGGGAAGATGGAACAGTGCATAAAACACTTCCAGTTCACTGTCACTTATCACCTGATTGGTCACTTATCACTCATCTGATCTGCCTACTTCTCCACATTCTGGGCCTGACTTTGTTTAACTCCATGATAGAAGGGATATTAGTTACTTTCCCATTGCTAGGACAAAATGCACAAGACCCACAATTTAAAAGAGGAGAGATTTATTTGGTTCCCACTTCCCAGTGGATTCAGTCTATGGATGGCTGACTTCCAGGCCGAGGAAAGCTGCTCAATCCATGGCAGCCAGGAAGCAGGGAGAAGAGGAGCCTGGGACAAATGTACACTCTGCCAGGCCATGTCTTCGATGGCCCACCTCCAACCAGGCCTGACCTCCTAGCTGCATGTTTAGCTACTAAACTCATCAGTCATTGAGTCCATTAATAAGTATAGGCCCCCGTGATTCAGTCACTTTCCAAGTACGTGAGACTTTGGGGGGACATTTTAGATCTAGACTGTGACAAAGGGTAGCAGCCCCCAGTGCAGGGCAGTCTTGCCTCAAAGTTGAGGTTTACAAAAAAAAAGATGAGGTTCAGAGATGAGAGGATGACAGGCACTATTTTATCACAATGAATTGAACCTCTCAAATTCTAGTTTTTCCTTGCTTCCCCCACCTCACATTCATCTCTCCTTTTGGCTCTGTCTTCACATTCCAACACCAGACACAGAAACAGTCACTTCACATAGACTGTTAGGGAGCTTTCCCAACTGCCTATGATTGAATCCTCACTTGTCTGCTGAAACAGAGCTTGGCATTGATAGTGACTCTGGAGATCAGAAGCTTAAGGATGGTTTCTCAGAATTGGCCCTGTATTATCTGCAATTGGTTCTCTCATATGCTTGGATTTAAAGTCATTGATGACCTTGTTTGCAGCGGTAAAGAGGATGTTGGAAGTTTATGGAATGCGGTAGCAAAACTGTTAAAGTTCACCTATATATATCAGTACTAATTACCTGTAGAAGGGAAGACTTTGGGTCTGGGCTGGTGGCACACGTCTGTAATCCTAGCATTTGAGAGGGTAAGGCTGGAGGATTGTGAGGAGTTTAGCCTGGGTACATAGTGAGTTCAAGGCCAGCCTGAACTACACAAGTGAGACCCTGTCTTTAAAAAAAAATGGCACTGGACTTCAGATTTTGGGGGCTGAGGATGTAGCTCAGTGGCAACACCCCTGCCTTGCAAGTACAAGGTCCTGAGTTCAATCACTAGAAAAGAAAAGAAAAAAAAAGGCAAGACTTTGGAGGAACAAGTATTTTATTTTACTTTTGGCACAGAACACTAGTGGAAATAGTGGCTGTGATGGCATTGATTAGTTACTCATATATGTATTGAGAAATGGGAGCAAAGAAAATGATGAGTTTCAATTCCCAGTTCAGGGTCCGATTGAAGAACCACAAAAATTATACTGTCACTAAAGCTGAAATAAGGAACCTATCCCACCCTTTTAAAACAAGTTTGCAGATTCACTCACTCTAGTTGCAGACAAAGAATTTTCAAGACATGTTAGAGACATACGAGGTTTTATTGGATGCACTGAAGAGTGGAGTGTGGGTGCTCCAAGAAATGAGTCTTGTTACAAAACAGATTAGGGTATGTTTAAGGGCACGTCTTCAAGGTAAGTAATCAGGATATGTGTTCTCACTGTCAGGTTACTCTGCAAGTCATCTACTTGTATTCGAAGTAGAGATAAGCTGCCCACAAATATTGTTGCTTCCTGGGAATGGAGGAAGTACAATTTGTAGGTGAAAAGGACAGGTTAAGAACTCTGACTTACAGGCTTATTGTAAAAACTACTTTAGAAAAAAACTTTTTAGTGAGTTTCCTAGAAGGGAAAATGCCTTGAGTAACATATGTGTCTTAAAGCTGTAGTTTTTCTTAATTTTAAAATCTCAATTTCCTTTCTACCTAGTTTTTATTTCTTCTATCTTGGCTGCCTATGACCTAAAATAAAATCTTATCTCCTATAGTTCTAAGGCTGAGATTTAGAGATCTATCTCAAAGTTAAGTTGTACAGAGCATCCTTATTGATTTTATAATTAATGGGAACCGGAGCAAGAGATGGGGAGTCAGGGGAGGGGAGGGGGATGTAGAAAGAATTGGGCATATGTTGTACAGTGTACCCACCTACCTACAATGAATGTAATCATTATATGTCTAGAGATGGGGGGGTGGGGGACGGGAAGGGAAATGGATGTAAAAGAATTAAGATGTGTGAAATATATATACGTATGCCCTAAGTGAATGTGAACATTATATACTGCAAAAGTGTACTAATAAAATAATATAATAAAAATAAAGTTATGACATTGATTGGGAAGGATTGGGACTCTAAACATAATATAGGAAATAACAGACACACTTCTATGAAACTAAGGACCTTAAACACTTATTTGTCAGTAGCAGAGACGAATGTACAGTAGATAAGCATTTCGAGGCAGCACTTTTTAGCAGAAAGAGATATGGCATAAAATTGATATGGAGTCAAATACTGGTTCCAAGCTTATATTTGGGAATTAAGCATCTACTGTATTGCAGATAGCTACCATTTTTAAATCCCTGTTTTTTGTTATATATTGTACAGATCCCTTCGTATGAATTGTGTCAGTTAATCTTCCCCAAAAATGGAGGGGGCAAATTTTGTACTTTAAAGATGAATAAATTGGAGACTGGCACTGTTGGTAATTTATCCAAAGTCACAGAGCAAGTTTATGGCAAAATGAAGCTTTGAACTTGGACTTAACCTCAGATCTGCTTTACTTCTCAGCCTATGAAATTGTTGTTGTTATTATTCATTCTAAATCAGCTATCCAACTCCTCAACTCCTCTCAGGGAATGGGGGTCTTCAAATTCTGTTCACCTCTTAGTCTCTTTTTCTGCATTTGAGCCTCCAGGATTCACACATAAGTGTGAGTGACTGTCTTAATCACAAAGTGGTAGATCTATCTAGGACATTAGGGATCATGAGATCCACTTTTTATTCGCAGAAGATGAAACAAGTCTGAAGAGATAAGGTGCATTACTCAGTGTGACATAATGAGTTTGTAAACTGGAATGGTAGCTCTGTGAGAAGGTCAAGAGGACAAAACATGCCCAGACTAACTGTTCAAATCCTCTCTAGAGCCACTATGTGAATGAAATTATGCAAGGCAATTACAATTGTAAATTTTTTGCACCATTGGAGTTGTGAAAAAGTAATCCTTAAATCATTTACAGACTGGTTGTTGATAATCCTGAAAAGATTCTATTGTTCAGTACCATCCTGCAGGAAATTAAGAAATTTATCAGCCTTTTGGGTTAGGAGCTGGCTGGAAAGTTTCCACTCCTTTGGGCATGCCCAGCATCCAGCCTCTTGAGTAGGAATTAGAAAATGGGTGCTTGTTGATGAGGAAGTTCTACACTGGGCCCAACTGCACAACTTGGTTAGGACTGAGAATGAGGACTCAAAGTGTTATGAAGGTGTTCTTTCCCTTCCTTTCCCTCTCTTCCTTTTTCTCAATGTCAGTCTTTTTTTTTTTTTTTTTTTTTTGTACAAGAGATTCAACTCGGGACCTTGAACTTGCAAGGTAGGTGGTAGAACCGCTGAGCTAAATCCTTAGCTCCCATAATTCAGTCTTAACTCTATCTCAGGTAGGGTCAAACAAAAAACTTAAGGCCCAGTGGGCTGAGGAGACCTTTGTTCTTAGTCTGCATATTACATCTCAAGATAATTAAAGGTCTATCATATATATTTAAGAAATAAAGAAGGAAGAACTCAATGTTGTTGAGTTGCTGTTCAATATGTTCAATATGGTGACTGAGGAAGCCCTCTCTGAGGAGGTCACGTCAGTAGAGACCTGTTGAGATCTGTGAGAGAAACATCCAGGACAAGTCTTTGGTATGTTTGAGAAAAGACATGGAAACTGACAGGACCTGAGCCTGATAAAATCTGGGAAGTTATGGAAATGAGAGCCATTTATAAAGACAAAGCTGAGGAAGTCAGAAGGGATGTGATGTGTTCCAGTCATCTGGGACATAGAAGAGTAAGTAAAGAACCTGTGAGTAAGGGGAGGAAGACCTTGAGGTATAATATCTGTAGATTGCATTGCCAGGTTGGGGCCATCTCTGAAGTAGAGAATTTTTCCACCATTTGTAACCTGCTATGGATCAGCTTACCTTTCCAGGTCAAAAGAAGAGCCACCTTTTCTGTCTCCTCATGGGATGGGCTTCCCTATGAGACATTAAATATATGAATGAGTAATTACTGAGAACTGTGCAAGCCACAGATATTAAAGTTACAGTCAGAAAGGCTAGAATAAAAGTAAATGTAGATTCTTGGAGTGAATATTCTCTGTTATTCCCTCTGAAATTGTATTTTTTCCAGTGGGGTTTTTCTCCCTTGTGTGTGGTTTGTATGTTTTCCTGCTTAACGATGAGCAATTTCTATAATTAGCCTGTAGGTGGAGCAGTTATACTTTTCCCCATGGTATAGCTATAAAAGCAAAAGCATCCACATTTTATGTCTAGACAGAAGACGTGCATGGAATCATAAAATCTTCAGACTGGAGGGATCCAGAAAGGTCATTTACTCCCTTTCTTGTCTTTAGAAAACCATGCTCCTAAATCAGCCTGGTGGTGATGCATGCTCCCTGCTTGTTCCATTTAACAGCGGTTAAAGCTCCACTGTTCCATCTCTGGTCATTTCTTTCAGGCTCAACAAAAGCAGAAAAAACAAAGCCCACAAAACAACACATTTCAAATAAAGTCCAATATGTACATGTATACACATGTTCCTTATGGGACAAAATATCAGACTCGGTGATACAAGACATCAGTCATTCCATTCTAATAATTGAATAATAGTTTTCTTTTGATTCTGTTTTGTCTGATTCTTGTAAAATGTGTTTATTTGAGGTTGAGATTTGCCAGTATTTTTGGTTCAAATACAGAAGGAGAAAACACCAGTCAAGGATTTTTTCAAATGGCAGAATTAAGAATGAATAGGACAAGGTCTAAAAAGATGCAACATTTCTACAACCTGCAGGAAGACCTATTCATTTCCCATTCCTCGTGTCTCACCCACAGGAAGCATGTGAAAAGATTGTTCTCAATTCTATGAAGCTAGTACATTCCTGGAACTTTTTCTATGAAGTTAAAATATCTGCATACTTATCTGACTTTCCATTAGAAATTATAATTATGTTGTAGTTTTGTTGGGTTTTTTGCGAGGCAAGCATTCTATCACTCAACTTCCTCCCTACCCTCCTTTTTTACCCCCTTTAAAAGTACCTAGGTCTAAGAGTCAATGAAACCATGCTTAGGAATATAGTAAATAAATATCTTTAGATGTTAAAAGGAAAATGTTTTCATGATCCTATTAATCATAATACTCAAATAAGGTTTTAGAGTACATGCGCAAACTTCCCAGCAGGCCTGAGGGGGAAAAAATAGCCATAAGTTGTTTGAATCAGATGGTAGACACCTTTTCAATTAGACTCACACCCAGTTTCTTATAGCAGGAGTGCAACATAGCTATCTTTGGGAGTTGTAGCCTCTTTCCCCATGATTTTATAAAATAACCTAATTGCTATGAATGAGCAGGTTTGTTTGGAAGCAGCAGTTCATTAGCATATGGGAAACACATAGGGACACATCCTGGAAGTAAAAATTCTCAAATATGAATGTGTGAACAATAATGTCATTGTCATTTAGGCAAATAGTTTCATTCAACAAATAATTTTGATTAGCTGCAGCATATCAGGCATTGGGGGAGGAAGCGGGGTAAATCAGTGAGTGATATTTTAAAAAGTATAGTGGATATGTTGATAATCTTAGTTATTCCTTATTGCCAGGACAATATATCCAAGGCCCACAAGTTAAAGGAGGAAAGGTTTAGTTTTAGCTCACAGTTTGTAGAAGTTTCAATCTATAGTTGGCTAATTCCAAGGAAGGGTAGCATGGAAAAGAAACAGTCCATGGCAGGAGTGGCAGAAAAAAGCATCAGCAGTGAGCCCCTCTTTTCCCTTTTTGTGTCATTTAGACTACAAACCTGTGGTTGGTGCCACTCACACATAGAGTGGCTCTTCTGTCTTCAGTAAATCCATCTGTCCACACGTAGAACTATGCTAAAGCCAATCAGTGGACTAATCCAGTTATCACATGATCTAGTCCCTTCCAAAATCCCTACCTAGGAGCACATGAGGCTTTGGAGGACATTTTAGATATAAACCATAACAATATGAAATGTGCTATGAGGCCATGTCAGCTGGACCTAGCAGCCTGGAGTCAGGTCTCCCCAAAGGATGTGACATTTAACCAGGGGTCTAAAGGTGTCAGCAGGAGGGCCAACAGAGGAGAGTTTCAAGTAAAAAGACCTGGATGAAGGACAGTTCAGAGCCAAAGAAGCATGGGCATCCAAGATACCAGAAGAGGTCTGAGGGTAGGAATGTAAAGTTCTAGAAAACTAGAAAGAGATCTCCATGTCTGAATTCTGGAGAGCTCCTTGGACCTGGAAATAAGTTGGTTTTGTTTTAATTGCAGGGAGAAGGCACTAAAGAGAGTTCAGTGAGGTGACGGGATTACAATTGTGTATGAGAAATAGCTCCTCACTGGTGTGTGAGTGGGAGGGATATAGATTTGGGAATTAGCAGGGTATATATGTGAATAAAAGCTCGGAGGAGATGGCTCAGAGAATACAGGCTGAGTAGGAATAGGGCCAAGGATGGAATTTTAAAGCATCTGCAAAGGTTAACCAGAGGAAGAGGAACTGATGAAGAAATCAAGAAGGAGCTAGAGCAGCTAGATCGACCAAGAGAATGCTGCTTTGCAGGAACCAAAGTAAGAGCGTGCTTCTAAAAGCGGAGAGATGCAAATAGTGACAAATTTCTGCCAAAACCCAAGCACACTAAGAACCAAGGAGCCTCAGTGTTTAACCCAGGGAGGTCATGGGTGAGTGTGGTAAAGGCATTTCCGTGGAAGGGCAGGAGCAGAAGCCTGATGGCCATGAACACATGCAATGGCTGGTTGGAAAGAGAAGGGAAGGTTCTTCAGAAGGACCCATTAAGTGTGGGAGAGAGAAAGCCATTAAGGGATTGGATAAAGATGGGTCGTGGTTTATAAACATGAGAAATGCATAGGCTACTTAAATACAGAGAGAGAGACTGAGGAGAGGTGGAGGTGGTACAGGTACAGGTTGAGAGAAGGCTGGATGGGCTGAGGCTCAAAGCCCAGTAGAGCAGTGGTTTGCACAGAAGGAAGCTTGGTCTGCTCTCCGTTGAGGTAGGGAGGAAGAATGGGTGCTTGGAGGCTTAGTGGCAAGGGCTTGAGAGCATTTTCTTCTGTGGGGGTAAAAGGTACAAGGAGCACCTTTTAAACATATTCAGTGTTACTTGAACATGTTATATTCATTCAAGCTTAAATTCCCTGTCAAGGGGAAGTTTTTAAATAGCATTTATGAAGTTGAGAAAGGAATAGAAAGTTCCTAAAATTTTGTATTTTTAAAAACAAATGTAGGCAAATGGAATTCATGGCTAGTACAAGGTCTGAAAGGAAAACACTGACTGTACAAGTTCTACCTGTAAGAATTGATGGTGGGTGCTCTGAAGATATGAATTTAAAGTAAAACTGTACCTCTTACTCTAATAAACATTTTACGATCAAATCTAATGGGTAAGTGAATAGAAACAATTCACCATATATATCCAGATTGGATACATACATAACCACTAATTGCAGTAGGATTATATTAAAATCAGATAGCTTAATGAACTTTATAGATCTAGACGATAATTAACACAATAACCCAAACTTAATTAGATACTTGTATTTAATCCTGGCAGTAAGCAATTGCTTTTCCTGACATCCACTTTACATACATACTAAATATCACAGCATGCATGGTCCAATAGGGTTATACCCAAATAGAATTAATGACGTTTGAAGAAATTTAACAGGATAAATAAATCATGCTCATATGCATATGGAACCCATCACAGAGGAGAGGAAGGCACAGGAGAACGAGCACATCCCCTCGTCTCAGCGTTGTTATACAGAATCCAGTAATCAGAACCGTAAAGTTAATCTTCCTCACTGAAGCTCAAGTCCTTTCTGTAATACTGAAAGGAAGAAGCCTTGTTCTCTGGAAAAGGACCTATCAGGCTTTGGGAGGACTCCTTCACAGCAGGTACCAAAATTCTGTATTATCACTCAGCCTACAGTTTTCTTTCTAACCCAAGAATGAAGACAGGAAAATGGGAATGTGCCACTCAAGATTCTACAGAAAATTTCCTCAAGTAATCAAGTAACATTTCTTCAGATCTCAGTACCCTGGGTATCTTCTTTGCAAAATTTTCCTTATTAGTTGTTGTTATGGCTTGTGTCTGGATATCCCCCCCCCAAGGCCTCATGCAGTTATGGTGGGTCTTTTCTCAGAAATGGCTGAAACTAGAGTGTATGATTGATGATTCATGGTGCAATGCTTGGATTAAGGCTGCTAGGATTAAGAGTTTGTGGGTTAAGTTAAGGGTGGGTTAATCAGTCCACTGGTTTGGCATTTCCCTAAGCTGGATAGCCTCGATAGACTACAAAAGGAGCAGAAAAAAGCTACACAGGTTCCTTGCTTACTTTTCTGTCTTCTGCCTGTTTCTCCTTTGTAGTACCCCTGTTCCATGTCTCCCTGCCTTGGAGCCAGCCAACTATGGATTGAAACCTCTACAAACTGTGAGCTAAATAAATCTTTCTTCCCTTAAACTTAAGTGTTGGGTATTTTGTCTCAGCAACAAGGAAAGTAACCAAGACAGTTGTCCTCTTCAAATATTGCATGATTTTCCTTACATGAGAAACCTAAAATTTTTTAAATGACTAAAATGAAGGAAGGATAGTAGGAAACAAGAAGACAGATGTAGATCGGGAAGATGGATCAGGGGGAGGAGGAGGACAAAGGGATCAAAAATGATCAAGATATATGAATTTCTCAAAATGACTATCATTGTTCTGTATTGCAAACATATACTAATAAAAGGGGACAAAAATTGTCCCCTTCAGCAAAGTTAGGAATTAACTAAAAAGTCATAGTATACAAGCATGCAAAAGCTCTCTCAGGTTTCTCTCCCTCCATCCTTTTCTTTTTTCCTCCCTCCCTCCCTCCCTCTTCCTTCTATTTGAACAGAACAGGTTTGAACCTAGGACCTTCAGCATACTAAGTATGCACTCTGCCACTGAGCTATACCTACA